ATATGTGCCTAGGACATGGTGATATGGGTCATGCATCGGACCCAACGAGAATGATCCTATATCGATGAAAAGTTGCTAGTGAATTGATGGCCAGCCCGTTGATCCTTGTCCGAAGCACGATTGGTTGCATATATATATATATATATATATATATATATATCAAAACCATTCATGTTTCTTGCATACAGAACCAATATAACCTATATGTCCATGATTATTATGCTCAAAAGACGATTTAAATCACCATCTCATGCCTTAAAATATGAAATTTATCCTATGTTTCAAAAAACACACATAGTACACAAATGATCAGATTAATGGCCTTACAATCTGTTTATTGGCTCCAAACTTATGTTAAAACACTTCCCCAACATCATATGTAATCAACTAGGAGTTTTGTTTAGATCCATAGCTCAAAACCACTAGCAAATGCTTGAATTTCAACCTCACTTCTCCATTGATATCTTGCTTTCAAAAACGTTATTTCTTGTTGGGTTTCACCTCTAGGATCGAGAGAGACATTACGGATGTTGATTTGTCCCAATCCGGTGCCGGGGCCGGGGATTAGAAAACTCACCCCATCCCCGCCCCGTTGCCATGCCTAGAGACATAATGGTAAGATTTTCCTGCCATTTGATCCTTCATATGACCTAAGGGACCTTCTCCTTAACCATAGCGGTGAGAATTAACCTCTGCTAAGATCACTTCTCTTTGATGAGTTGAAAGTAAGACTTAATAGAGTCTGTCATTTTCAGTTATTATACTTCTTTTTTTATTGCATAAATAGTCTTTCAATTGGACATTTTTCTTACACCAGGGATAAGGGAGTTGCTGCTATTCATCGGCGATGGGGAACAAGGAGTTGTTACCATTCACAGAAGATTATAGAAAATAGAAAATAATATCCAATGTAATATAATATTATTAAATTTTTAACAAAATAGCAAAAAATAAAATGATCAAATTGCCTTGACTTTAATTGACTTTTCTTTAACATAGTTGGTCAAAGGGAGGAAGACAAAAACCACCGTAAATTATAGGAACCAAAATCATAATTTCAAAAGTACAAAGAAATAAACAATAATCTATACTATATTATAAAACATTTGGCTAAAACTCTTAAACTCTTAAAACTCTTAAACCCGTTCATCCCTAAACAATTTCATCCCTATCCGATTTCATCCCATAACTTAATTCGTGTAACTAACTGCAGATAAACACAATCAAATACAGGATAAACATCTCATTTTAAATATMAAAAATCTAAAATATAATTAGGATAATCATTGAGTTCTAACAAAATACTTAATTATTATTTTTATATAAAATGTTATATTATTAAACAAAAAAATAAATTATTTCATTATTAAACTTAAATTAAATTAAAAAAATAATCTATACTATATTATAAAGCATTCGACAAAAACTCTTAAAAACTATTTTTTATACGTAAAGTACTGTTTATTAATGCATATTACTTAAAACTCAAGATTACGAGTAGATTGTGCGTAAGTACAACTTATTAAAGTTCCATATCTGAATTCGTGCAACTAATTGCAGATAAACATAATC